ATGGGTTGTTCATATCTCAATCGAAGTACGCTAAAAACCTTGTCAAATGTTTTGGACTAAACATCAAAAAACACACTAGAACCTTTATAGGCACTAGTGTCAAGTTAGGTCATGACCCTGTAGGTAAGATAGTTGATCAGACACTGTACATGAGTATGATATGTAGTTTACTTTATCTAACTGTAAGTAGACCTGACATAGCTTTTAATGTTGAGGTATGTGCGCGCTTTCAGGCTGATCCCAAGGAATCCCACTTGAACGCTGTACGACGTATCATTAGATATATCAATGGAACCATAGATTATGAAATCATGTACTCTCGGAACTTTAATCTTGACTTTGCAGGCTATTCCGATGCCGATTGGGCTGGAAATGTCGATAATAGAAAAAGTACTTTTCGAGGTTGTTTTTATGTTGGTACTAATCTTGTAGTTTGGATGAGTAAGAAACAAAATTTTATCTCATTATCTATGGTAGAGGCCGAATATATAGCTGCAGGAAGTTGCTGCACTCAACTGTTTTGGATGAAGAAGATGTTGAGTGATTATGAAATTAGACATGGAACTATAACTGTGTTTTTTGATAACACTAGTGCCATCAATATTTCCAAAAATCCCGTTCAACACTCTCGAACCAAACATATTGATATATGACATCATTTTATTCGAGAGTTTGTAGAGACCTGTATTGTAACTCTTGAGAATATATCTACAGAAAGCCAATTACCTGACCTATTTACCAAACCATTAAATGGTCTGAGATTTGAATATCTTAGGAAGGCTATTGGTGTTTCCATACTTGTGCTTTAACATTGTGTGACATTGATTTATGCATGCATCATATTTGTTTATTTGTTTTATAGGTAGAAAATTCATGCATATTTTTTAATTTATTTTTTTATTTTTATTATATTATTTTTGTGTGCTTGGTGCATTCTTGCTTTAAAATAAACAACAAATAAATGGAAAATTGAAAAATAAAATGCGAGACTTTATTTTTACAGCATAATATACAATATACTTGAAATTGTTTGTTGTGATCAAGTATAGATTTAATTGATGAGCTGTAACATAGTTTCCATTGCTAGCTTAGGTTATTTATGGAGTACATATTTATGTGTCTCGATGTACCGTTTGTAGTGTATACACTATGATATTATAAGTTGGACTCTACCGCATGTGTGAGATTTGAGATGTTAATCACATGTTAGTAAGGTGATTTTAAACATGAATTGACCTTATTTATTAGACCTAAACTCAAGTTTATCCTCGATAATAAAAAAAATCAATATCTTATGTTCTTATTCGGTGCCTATTTGACTCGAACAATTAATCCTGCGAGGTTTCTCATAACCTAGTGCCTATGATCAACTGATTTGGGTTAATCGGCCTAAAGCTTGTTACATGGATCATTTTCATTGCTTAATGAAGAAGAGCATGTACTTAAAATGTGAAAAATTTATTACTCGAATTTATATTGAAAGACGTGAAAATAAATTATGCTCAAAGTCAGGAGGAGAAAAGAAAATTTTCATATAAAATGAGATTTTTTGTATAGGTTCTAATGTGCTTTAAATGGTTTGACTATCATAAGTAGATGAATACACTTATTGGCAGTGGTGTTTAGCGCGTTCTTTCTCACAAAATTAAGGTTTGGAGTCCTACCTCCAAATGATTAGTGACACTTTACACGTATGGGTCACTTATACAATTTACTCTATGCTAACTTGAGTTACGTATGCGGGAAGGTATATCGTCCATTGCTTATATTTATGCATACTAACAATTGCATTTTTGCTTTATTGTATGTTAATTATTGATCCCCAGTCATTTGTGACAAAAAGGAGGATCTATTTTGACTGATATTTTGACACTATGCATCTGTTTGAGCCATATTAAAATTTTCATTCTTAGGGCGTGTTCGGTAAAGATGAAAATCAGATTAAAATTGAAAAACTAGCCGTTATGGTTGATTTTTATTAGACGAGTGGGATACAATAACGACTATAATTTCAATTTTAATTTGATTTTGAGTTGTGCCAAACAAGCTCTTATTCTTCTACTCATTTTCAACCATACATTCTTCAATAAAATAACACTTTTACATCACATCAATAACGCTTCCTTCTTTTTCAACCACACATTTTTCACTAATCTACTATTCCAAAATACATTCTTCCAAAGTAATGTGGCTCAAACGCACCCTATAAATCTACTTAATTTTTTTTTGATTTGACATTAACATTTAATGCTAATATTTTGATTTAGAGGTATAGGATTTTTTTTGTTATTAGCTAGATTAAGTTCTGATGTTTCGTGATATCAATGTTTATTTTTGTATGTTGGTTTACATTGATATTGCATTTTAATTTAGCTGGTATAACTTATGGTTAACTGTTTGAATTGCGTTTAATAATCATATTACTGTTTCATGTGCTTTTACACTGGGTATTGAGTTGTCTGTTTATGAAACATTTAACAAAGGAAAATCACATTTCAGCCAAGACAGTTGGTCCGATAGTAGTAGTTGTTTTGTGTCTATATGTTTATTACCTTGACTTTAGATTTGTAGTTTTGTCATAGAATGTCAAAGGGGGAGCTTGTTAGGTTTTTAATGTAATTGACCAATATGTGAACAAAAATGACTAGAATTAAAGTGTTGTAAAAGTCAATCAGTAAGTTGCAAATACTGTTAATTGAGTTGTATTAGGTCTAGGGTTTGAGAATGAAAAGAAGGAAAAAACGGCGCTACAATTTCGCTAGACTGTCGCCTTGTCTTTGCTCGAGTGGCAGAAACGGTAACATTGTCACCCGCTAGTCACCTTGTCTTCGCTCAAGCGACATCTTGTCGCTAAGCTTTCCCTCGAGCGATAGTGTTTCCCGAAAAAAATTAATTCGCATTTTTAAGGCTTTTTGTCTTACCCATTCAATCCTAAACCTAAACTACAAATACCAACAAACATCTGAACGATTTTTTGAAGGTTACATATCGAGAAAAAACATATTACTCAATATAATCTTCTTCAAATAAGCTTTTAACCTTCATATTTTGATTTATTCTTGGCGTTGAAAACATCAAATTCATAATCCATATACCAAACTGCTACTTCCTACACATGTGTCAGAGTTTTGAAGATCAAGGGAAGGTAGCTGGAGTTTCAGTTGTTGGAGAACGTGGAGTTCTTTGTTGATCCACATGAGATAGACAAATTCACAAAGTCAGGAGTTGGTGTAGAAGCACGCAATCCAGGAGGGCTGTGGAAATTGAAGTCAGGAGGTCATAAGTAGTCGTGTCTGGTAGACTATAAGTTCATAATTCATTTATAATGGATTGTTGACTGTAAAGTGTCCGAAATTTTTACCCAGTTGGGATTTTTTCTTGATCATTCTAGTTGTTTATTTATTACTTTCATATAATTGCGGCAATTCAACTTAGAAAAAATCTACTTGATTGAGATAATAGTGACTTGTTGCTATTTAATTATTAATTTCACATAATCACGTAATCACCACCCTCTAAGTATAATTTGGGTCAAATCACATAATTTCAACAAGGAGTAAATCAAACTCGTTATAGTTATTCATGTAATTTGCATATAACTATGATCAAAATGTTATCATTATCATGCGATGTAAAAAAACTTGTTCATGGTATTATTCAGTCTACCATTCATAGCAAACACGTTTAGTTAAGTTTGCTATGCCAAATTGCTAGTACATAATTTGCTACAAGTGTGCCATAACTGTTAGTATAAGTGCTACGAGGATGGGAATGGCCGTTCATTGAAAATTCAGGAAATTAGACGGTGTGGTTAGATTTTATATAGAGAAAGTGAAGTACGTATTCATTACTTTTTGTTCTTAGATAATGTTTATTTTTAAATTTTTTTGACAAATATATTATTTTTTCTTAGAAATGCTACCGAATTTTCCCTCTTCTTTGACACTCATTTTGTTTCTTTTGCACAAATTACCATATTTAAGCATTCTTATCAAACTAGACAAAGTTGACTACAATTTTTAGTTTATTATAGACTATAATTTTTCTCTTTTAGTTATCTCAGGTTTGCCCCGACGATATTTTAAAATAAGAGCACTAGAGTAATTTGTCATGATTGCATCTCGTATTAATAAATTTTTTTGAGGGAGACATTTAAAAAATAAAATAGACTAGTTAAAAAAATTGTGAATCGATCTAAAATCCAATCCGATATATGTAAAATACTTAAAAATCTAAAATAATCTCACAATCGATTGGTTCACCTTACAAATTTTGTGTTTATTTATCTATTTAATTATTTTTACACCAATTTGAACCTTTAATACATTGTTTATTATTGTTACACCATCCAAATCGGTGAGCGTAACAAAAGTAGGGCGTTACGTGAATTAAGAATTTGTGTCCATATAAGATTTGCTCACATCGCTGCAATATTTATGTAAATTTTCCTTATAACAAACAAACGAATATAAGTTAAACAAGACCTGAAATTTATATTAAAATATAAATGAAGTATTTAATTGTAATAGAAGAGTTCATTGAATCAATTGAAATTCTGATATTAAGCAACCTTTGCTTTTAGACCATATATAACGACATTAAAAGACATCCCTCACGAATTCACACAATTAAGAGCACATATGTTTGGCTTAGCATGAAAGCAGATCTTTTCGGCCAGTAGAAAGTATAATGTGATACTGCCGAAAAAAACATGTTTTTATTTAGTAGAAGCCCAACCAAACGTGCTCTAATATGCACTGGAAGCTACATATATTATACAATCTTGAAAACACAAATTACTCTCTCTCTAAGTAAATAAATAAATAAATTATTAAAAGACATCCCTCATGCACTCCCACAATCAACAGCACATATGTTTGGCTTAACTTAAAAGCAGCTTTTCTCGACAGTCAAAGTATCAAGCGTGGCACTGTCAAGAAAAAAACTCGTTCTTCTTTAGAAGAAGCAAAACCAAACATGCTTTAATACGCACCCTCTAATTAAAGGTAGTTAACTAGGGATCTATAAGTAGCACCAGGCTGCCAACCAGCTGGAATTACATTTTTTGCCACTAGGGTTTGGCCAGAATACTGAGATGTCAACCTTATTGAAAATGGAGGATGTAATTCTTTTCCGGCATTTAATTGCCATACTGCACCCCATGAATGATTCATCTCCCACCATTCATCAGGTTTACGTGATGCTTGTTGCAGATCAACCCTAGCAAGATCTCCATCTCCTTCCTCAAACTCGATCACCACCGCGAAATACTCAGGATTGGATCCCTGATCCACGCGGAACACGATGGTTTTCCCCGAATAATCACATGCAACCCTACCATGGAAATTAACAAAACAGAGTTGCCGGTCGGGAACTTAAATTTTTAGATGAGATGACTGAGACTCAGAGACTTGATTATTATAAGCCCTTGTTTGGTATATATTATTTTCAAAAAACATTTTCTCTTACTTATTTTCAATCACACACTCTTCAATAAAATAATATTACATGTAAATTCAAAATTTTTTCTTATTTTTTAATCACACATTTCCCATCAAAATACTATTCCAAAATGTATTATTTCCAAAAAATGAGGCCCAAACATGCTCTAATTATACAAAATTTAGTAGTGAAAACGCGACACAACGTGAACACTGTTTATTTCAATTAAAAAAAATGACACAAAACAACACGGAAATGGTATTTTAGAAAAAACATAATTTCACAGATATATTTTTATACCATGAATTTTAATATATTTTTTAAAAATATTTAACATTAAATAAATATTAAAAATTACACAACCAGTCAAATTGTCAAATATTCAAGATTCTAACTTGATGCATTATGGCATCTACAAAAATTAATCGTAAGTGTCGCTGGAAAAAGTCAAAATAATTTGTTAACCTTTTTGACATAGAAGGTTAAAATCCCGCTGTCAAGTGTATTCCTAGTTAAATACCACCATTTCAACATATATTTTTTATACACAGTTTCTTTTAAAAATATGAATTTTGTTGAATGAAATTACAGGAAACTTTTTTTTTTCTTTTCTATTTTTTTTTTAGGGGTTTTGAAACCTTTCTAAATTTCTCAAGAAATTTAGCCCCAGTTTGGTGGAAATCAAAATCATATTTTTAGTAGATCTTGATAACAAATGATGAAATGTGTGATTGAAATGTTGTGGATTTCATAAAATATGTGATCAAAAATCTAGATTTTAATCCTTATAAGACAGGGACTTAGTTTTTGAATTGTGCCTGAAATAAAAACTCTAGCCTTTTCAAAATTTCCGTTCGTCATTGTTGGCGATGTTATGTTATTCCATTAGCTTACCTTCCATATCGGATTTGTAATACTCCTGCATCACGAAGTTTATCTTCTTCACCCGGGATGGCCATGGAACCAAATGCTGTTCCACTTAGGTCAAAGTGAGCTGATTCCGATGCGCATGGACCTCCGGGACAAAAATCTGTGATAACAACCCTCACCGGTTTGCCAGAACATGACCGGTGCTTGGTACATTTTATCTAATTGCAATTATCAGAACATGAATACATTAAGCCTATGTTTGCCCCCCATATTTTCAAAAACTCATTTTCAACCATACATTCTCTTATAAAATAATTTTACACATAAATCCAAAACTTTTTCTTATTTTTTAACCACACATTTTCCAATAAAAATACCATTTGAAAATGCATTTTGCCCAAAAATGAGGCTCAAACGGGGCTAAGTATTAGAATCAGGGGCGGAGACTGTTGAGGCCAGATTTTTTTGGATAATCGGAAGCTTTAGGTGTAGTTGCAAACTATTGACAATGTAATTAGAAACTTAAAAGACGATTGTACTCATTATTCACTATAATCTAATAATGTGATTTGTAGATACCTTGTAGCAAGCTCCACATTCCTTGCCTGATTTATAGAGGGATGGGCCTACTGCAGTGACCAGGGAAGAAAATGGTGCTTGTGACAATGTGTTTCCGTATCCACAGGCTCCTCCTGCATGCAATGGTATTATAACATTGTTCGTTAGAGAGTTAAATCACCTCGTTCAAAAATTTAAGTTGATAAATATATAGACGACATGTAAATTTATTTAAATTTGACTTAATTCTTCAACACACTTGCAATAGGATTCACTTTTACGTACAAAATTTTCATAAATTGGAAGAATCTCATTTATAAATTTGAGTTTATAAAGAGGCCGGACACATCAATTTATTAAATTTAATGTTCGACGTACCGTCACTTCCAGCACCATCAGGGCTCCCGTACCACGTTGCACCGGCAGACGACCAATGCACGGCTTGGGTGGATAGATTGAAATGTTTGTGTTTGGAACAGAAGCAGGGGTCTGAGAAGCAAAAGAAAGTAAGTGAAATGGAGATAAGCAAATGGGACAAGGAGAATTGAGGTAGACTTGCCATTTTTTGAGCTTCAAGTCACCACTTAAAAAACTGATGATTCTTCAACACTTGCTCTCACGGTTATTTATAGCTGAAATAGAGAAGTGCTTCAGTTGTCAATATTGCAGCTTGACTAACTTGGGAAATTAAGCACAATAAATTTGCAGTTTGATTAAATGATTATTTAAAAAATTCGTGATGACTTTTCTCAAATCTATTTTTATCCAAGCATTTTAAAAGGACCCACAACAAATAGTATCATCTTATCCACCATTCATTTATATGTCTGTTTATAAACATTTTTCAAACATGTTCGAGCATATAGCAAGTTAGGGACTTTCAATTAGGTCATTGTAATATGCATCTGAAGTCTAATTGTAAGACCAATGCATTTTTGAAGTGCGAGTTCAATTTTGTTGTCCCTCTAGTGTATTCTTAGTACATCACTTTTTTCTTAGCAAATATGAAGACGGCAAGGTATGTAATGTGATGAAGCAAAATGATATGAAGAGGAGAAAATGGAGAATTGTTTGAAATGAAAGTGACGCCTCTTCTTCAAGCAGAGAAGATGGGGAGATTGAGAAGTTTGCAAGCAAGCTTTTCTAAATATAATGCATTGATTTTGCGTATACATTTTTGTGTGTGTGTGTGTGTGTGTGAAGCCAAGCAAGCTTTTCTAAATATAATGCATTGATTTTGCGTATACATTTGTGTGTGTGTGTGTGAAGCTAACATTCATTTTTGTAAATTTCTTGACATATCATAAACCGAAATAAATTCTCTTTATTTGCTTCGTATCAGAATTGTCAATTGTTCAATTGATTCACTGTAAATTGAAAGTCCATTTTTGTGAGAACTGTTACTTTTATAAGAACTAATATGAGTATTATACTCAAATTTTGTAATGGTATTGCCACACTTCTTACTTGGATATTGTGAGAAAATGGCATTGAATCGAATTTAGCAGTTGAATCACGAATCATTTGCTTTGAATCATGGCAGCGCTTAATAAAATGAAGAGAGAGATGTTTAAAGAAAAGAAAAAGATGAAGTTTAGTTGTGGTGTATTTATTAAAAAGACGTTTTCTCCTTTTTTTTATTATATTTTATTAGATTAGGTATATAATTGTAAATTTATTGTGATGTATTTATTAAAACTATGTTTTAGTTGTGGTGTGAATATAATGGGTGTAGATATAACATTTTGTAGTGGTAATATAATTACACATAAGATAATTAATGATTAAGACTAATGACTAATGCTAATTGCCAAATTCCAAGCAAAAGGGAAACCATTGCTTGCTCCAAAAAACCACTACCAATGAGTTTCGACACATTGCTTGCTCCAAAAACCTTATGGATGGCCGCAAAATGTGTAGCACCTTGTTCATGGATGGAATAAGGTGCAAAAACACAACCCTCCAACACATTTTCTTCTCAAGAATTTGCAGGCACAGCAAGGGGAACCAGATCCTGACATTCTTGATCTTGATTTTATTTTACCTTTGATTGATCTTATTGAGGTTTCAATTATAATTAATTAGCCTAACCTTTAAATTTCACTTCTTTTAATCTATCAAGCCGGATTAATGAGGCAGTTCGATCATGTGTATAAATGTCCCTTCAAAATCGCATGGCTTGGAATTTGGATTAGTGAGGGAGTTCTATCAATGCATTTTATTTAGAAAAGCTTGCTTGCAAACTTCTCAATCTCCTCACCTGCTTTGCTTGAAGAAGAGGCGTCACTTTCATTTCAAACAATTCTCCATTTTCTCCTCTCCATATCATTTTGCATCAAGTTTGAATTTATGGACTCTCCACTTATCTGATCTATTAAAACAAAACATAACTTATTTATTTATATTTATACATTTAAAATCAATAATCATTAGCTAGTCTTTAGATTCTCTCAGTATCAAATCTTACAAATGCAAGATTATGATAACGTGACAAATTGGTCACGTCTGAAAGCTACTTCTTGATATTAACATATTGCTATTATAAGTATAACCATTCAATAATTAAAAAACAAATCTCAAATTTCTTAACATATATCCTTTGCTAGAACTTTTACATTTTCTAAAACTGCTTTTAATTTATCGAACTCGTAAGGGATTTGATCATGGTTTTCTATATAAAAGGTTGAAATATATATTATTAATTTTCATAATTTACACAAATCAGTACAATTGTATTACAACTGTATATTTCTATCGGTTGATTAAATTAAAAACTACAAGTATATAACATCAAAATTAATAATCCCAAAAAAAAGATATAAAATTAACGATCAAGAACATAGCATATTTGAAGGCCGCACTTAATAAAATGAAGAGAGAGATGTTTAAAGAAAAGAAAAAGATGAAGTTTAGTTGTGGTGTATTTATTAAAAAGACGTTTTCTCCTTTTTTTTATTATATTTTATTACATTAGGTATATAATTGTAAATTTATTGTGATGTATTTATTAAAACTATGTTTTAGTTGTGGTGTGAATATAATGTGGTGTAGATATAACATTTTGTAGTGATAATATAATTACGCATAAGATAATTAGGAAATGATTAAGACTAATGACCGACGCTAATTGCCAAATTCCAAGCCAAAGGGAAACCATTGCTTGCTCCAAAAAACCACTACCAATGAGTTTCGACACATTGCTTGCTCTAAAAACCTTATGGATGGCCGTAAAATGTGTAGCACCTTGTTCATGGCTGAAATAAGGTGCAAAAACACAACCCTCAACACATTTTCTTCTCAAGAATTTGCAGGCACCACAAGGGGAACCAGATCCTGACATTCTTGATCTTGATTTTATTTTACCTTTGATTGATCTTATTGAGGTTTCAATTATAATTAGTTCCTAGCTTATTTCAAGCATTATCTCCATGTCTATAAACACCAGAGGGGAAGAGGGGCGTATCATATTATATTATTTCTTAATTAAAAATGGTTCCATTATTGGGCTACAGATTTCATTATTTTTTTTCCTCTTAAAAGCTCCCTTTAACCCCTCACAGTAAATTAATTAGCCTAACCTTTAAATTTCACTTCTTTTAATCTATCAAGCCGGATTAGTGAGGCAGTTCGATCATGTGTATAAATGTCCCTTCAAAATCGCATGGCTTGGAATTTGGATTAGTGAGGCAGTTCTATCAATGCATTTTATTTAGAAAAGCTTGCTTGCAAACTTCTCAATCTCCTCACCTGCTTTACTTGAAGAAGAGGCGTCACTCTCATTTCAAACAATTCTCCATTTTCTCCTTTCCATATCCTTTTGCATCAAGTTTGATTTTATGGACTCTTCCATCAAGTTTGAAAATCAGTTTCCATAATGAACTCTTATCTATATTTGACGGCTACGGACTTGCAATAAAAGAAGAGGAGAATAAACTAGGTTTATGTTTGTGGTGTAATTATAATTTGATGTGAATAATCAAAAGTATATGAACCCTAATTACGTAATTTTACTTAAGGCTATATAAGTAAATAAGAAACAAATTAAAATTTGTGGTAAACTTGATAAATTTTGTGGTGGTAATATAATAAACCACTTATCTGATCTATTAAAACAAAACATAACTTATTTATTTATATTTATACATTTAAAATCAATAATCATTCGCTAGTTTTTAGATTCTCTCAGTATCAAATCTTACAAATGCAAGATTGTGATAACGTGACAAATTGGTCACGTCTGAAAGCTACTTCTTGATATTAACATATTGCTATTATAATTATAACCATTCAATAATTAAAAAACAAATCTCAAATTTCTTAACATATATCCTTCGCTAGAACTTTTACATTTTCTAAAACTGCTTTTAATTTATCGATCTCGTAAGGGATTTGATCATGGTTTTCTATATAAAAGGTTGAAATATATCTATTATTAATTTTCATAATTTACACAAATCAGTACAATTGTATTACAACTGTATATTTCTATCGGTTGATTAAATTAAAAACTACAAGTATATAACATCAAAATTAATAATCCCAAAAAAAAGATATAAAATTAACGACCTCACTTGATTTTTGTAGAGAGTTGCAAAGAGTTTAATTTAAATGTAGTTTGAATAATTTAAAAAGTAGATTATTAAAATATTTGAAGTATTAAATGCAATAATTGTACATTAAGAAGAGAGTGAGTTTGGCTTTCTAAAATTGGAGAGCTAAATCCTCTCAAGAATTGGAAATTCATAATATATGGCCAAGTTTTCGTTGAAATTTCACAAGTGTACGAATCGTTGATAAATAGTTTAGGTGAGTTGAAAGTATTGTTCTCACGAGTAATAGACATTAATTTGAACTATATTGATTCACAATCTGATACAAATGTAACCATATCAATTGATGATGTGTTTGTTTTTATTTTAACTACTTATAATATTATACTAGTTACTACCGGAATGCACTATTTTGGAAAAGTTTTATACGAGGAGAGCGTGTTAGAAATTAGATTCCACTACTTTATTTTTCGTTCCAATTCTCAATTTATATCTTATAGTCTAATTTATGTATAGACTAATAATCGATAATCCTATTTTATTCAACAATCCCACTCGAGTAAAATTAAATCCATTTCTAAATAAGACCAGATGTATTATTGTTTTGAATTCAAATACTAAGAAATGCGATAATTCACAAAACAACTATAAAGATTGCATAAGGCATAAATAATTATTTTTAATGTCTATTGATCCTTATGTTGATAATGTGCTAAACCTATAGTCGAAGGGCCACTTCTTCAAAGACCTCGCTTACTTCTCTTCGTGAATTTACATCTCCTTCACTAGCACTAATGTTGATAAGACGCCTCTTTTCCTCAAAAGGAGTCTTCTTGAGAAAATATTTCTTCAAAGTTTTGTCCATTCTTTAAAAGAAAATTAAAACGCTTTGCCTTTGAACTTTTGGATTAAAAAATCTAAAAATGAAGAACAGTTGGAGCTTTTCTTCAAAAACTTCCACTTGTTCTATTCTTCAATAACAATAACTTTTTTTTTTAGGGAAAAGTGAATG